GTTGTTTGGCGGGTCCGGGCTGGGGATTCGAACCCGCCACCTTAGGTGTACGTGGCTGGCGCCTTAGCCGGTTGAGCTATAGGTGCCGAGCCGCCCATATTCTTTTAAGATTTCCCTGAAGTATTTTAGGGAACCCTAGATGTGTGTGAACTTCTGTGAGAATTGGTTTAGGATTTGCCGGTAATGACCGGCATGCCTATTACAGGTTTTTTTTTTTTTTTTTTTTTGAGACAGAATCTCACTTTATTGCCCTGATAGAGTGCTGTGATGTCATAGCTCACAGCAGCCTTCAATCTTGGGTTCCTTCTCTTGCCTCAGCCTCCTGAATAGCTGGGACTACAAGTGCCCACCACAATGCCAGGCTATTTTTAGAGATGGGAGTCTTGCTCTTGCTCAGGCTGGTCTCAAACAGGTGGGCTCAGGCAATCCACCCGCCTTGGCCTCCCAGAGTGCTAGGATTATAGGTTTGAGCCACCGTGCCCGGCCTCCTGTTAACAGTTTTTTATGGATTTATGTTTCATACTGAGAAAGCATTCAAATAACACAACTACACTTTAATATTGTCTGAATTTTAAAACATTTTCTGAGTTACCTTTGAGATTCTAGGAACAATTCTAAAAAACCTCAAGGGAAAAAGTGAAGGGAAAGCTTTAATTTAAAAGAAAAAAAAATCGGCTCGGTGCCTGTGACTCAAGTGGCTGAGGCGCCAAGGCGCCAGCCACATACACCTAAGGTGGCGGGTTTGAATCCAGCCCGGGCCCACCAAAAACAACAATGAGGGCTGCAACCGAAAAATAGCCGGGCATCGTGGCGGACTATTGGTCCCAGCTTCTTGGGAGGCTGAGGCAGGAGACTCGCTTGAGCCCAGGAGTTGGAGGTTGCTGTGAGCTGTGATGCCACCGCACTCTACCTAGGGGGATAGCTTGAGGCTCTGTCTCAAAAAAAAAAAAATCTGGGCCAGGTGCAGTGGCTCAGGCCTGTAATCCCAGCGCTCTGGGAAGCCAAGGCAGGTGGATTGCCTGAGCTCACTGCTGATTCAAGACCAGCCAGAGCCAGAAAGAGACTCCATCTCTAAAAATAGCCAGACATTGCAGCAGGCACCTGTAGTCTCAGCTCTTGAGGAGGCTGAGGCAAGAGGATGCCTTGAGCACAAGAGTTAGAGGTTTTTGTCGGCTGTGGCCCCATTGCACTCCACCTAGGGCAACAAAGTGATTCTGTCTCCACAAATAATCTTTCAGGGCCAGTGCCTTTGGTTCAGTGGGTAGGGCACCAGCCCCATATACTGAGGGTTGTGGGTTCAAACCCCGCCCCAGCCAAACTGCAACAAAAAAATAGCAGGGCATTGTGGCGGGTGCCTGTAATCCCAGTTACTCAGGAGGCTGAGGCAGGAGAATTGCCTAGTCCCACCAGGTTGGAGGTTGCTGTGAGCTGTGTGATGCCACAGCACTCTACCAAGGGCAATAAAGTGAGACTCTGTCTCTACAAAAAAATAAACCCAGAAAACTTTCAGTTGCCTTGGAGCTGTAGTTCTTAGTCCTGCTGCATATTTGAATTTTTTTTTTTTTTTTAAGAGAGTCTCACTTTGTCACCCTTGGTAGAGTGCTGTAGAATCACGGCTCACAGAAACCTCCAGCTTTTGGGCTTAGGTGATTCTCTTGCCTCAGCTTCCCAAGTAGCTCAGACTATAGGCGCCCGCCACACACCCGGCTATTTTTTGTTGCAGTTTGACCTGGGCTGGGTTTGAACCCGCCACTCTTGGTATATGAGACTGGCGCCCTACTCACTGAGCCACAGTCACTCCCCTATTTGATTTTTTATTTTTTTTGTAGAGACAGAGTTTCACTTTATCACCCTCGGTAGAGTGCTGTGGCATCGCACAGCTCACAGCAACCTCCAACTCCTGGGCTTAGGTAATTCCCTTGCCTCAGCCTCCCAAGTAGCTGGGACTACAGGTGCCCACCACAACGCCTGGCTTTTTTTTGTTGCAGTTCGGCCCAGGCCGGTTTGAACCTGCCACCCTCAGTATATGGGACCGGTGCCCTGCCCATTGAGCCACAGGTGCCACCCTATTTTAATCATTTTTAGAGATGGATTTTGCTATGTTGTCCATGCTGAATTTGAACTCTTGGGTTCAGGTGATCCTCCCATCCTCAGCTTCTGAGTTAGGTGGTATTAC